CCAATTTACCATTTCAACTTTGTTGATATATCCAGATTATTTCGTTACTCCCACCGACGCAGCCCCAAACAATTTCTTTCGAAACTATCAGCCTTTATTAATTAGGAAATCGCCCGGACACACTTTTTTCAGCAATTTGTCTCAGTTCGCGCTCCAAAAATACAATGAAGAAAATGTTTTTATGGCTTAAAAACTTTTTATCTGATTAAATAGGAATCGAAGTAATAATTAATCGTTTTTTACAGTGGATTGATTTTCGCTTCAGTAGCACTTTAATAAAACCTTTTCAATAATAGTTTTAGTAAAAAGTCAATTCTAGGGCGAGAAATTACGATTTGAAAACCGTTCCACCAACTTTCGAAATCGCGGCCAACTTATTTTCGGTCTGCGGTCACTCCCGTTGTGAAGTAGATAACTCAAACCACTGTTAGCGTCATTTTATTGATTATGTAAGCTAATGGCGGGTCAAAAGAATATCGCGAATTTGACGATCTTTCTGTGTAACAATTCGGAAAAAAAAATCCTTAGACAATTAACTAGTGAACATTTCAAGTTTTTATGTAAAAACATTTGGATTTTTCGGGTTTCCAAATTACAGGGATGTTTCATAAGAGTGCTCCTTTAAGGGAGCGACGTTTAGTGTAGGTACTTCATAACAACAGGCATGCTTCATGTTATTTCAGAACACATATATGCAACAAATAACTTAACTGCCTCCTGATTGAAATAACGCATTTATTTTAAAGATTCACTTTCTTTAATTTAGAAATTAATAAAATGGAAAGAAAAATTATCGGTTTAGCAGTCTAATTAAAACCCGTGAGATGTTGAGAAACACGTGAATGGTTTCTAAGGTTTGCAAGCCAGTAGGAAGCAGTTTTAAAATTTTCCGGCGATTTTTCAGCGAAATAGAGGTCAGATACAGAACTTTTATTAGTAAAATTTATTTCCATTGTAAGGACTTAACTTTGAATAGATTCGAAGAATGTTATCAGACGGATATCTTTAAAACAGGGAACGGGGAATGGAGGAATGGGGAATGGGAAATCTTGAAAACGTGGAATCTTTAAGAGCGGGAATCTTTAAAAGCGGGAATCTTTAAAACGGAGAAGAAAAAGGACTGACTCGTGGTCAAAGTGTATCGAGCTGTTGACGTTTTGAGTTTTGCGCTATGAGGCGAGCTCCCTCACCCATCGCACCAGACTTATCTAAAGCGTTTTAAAATTACTATAAACAAACTAAACGTTTCCTTGAAAGAAATGTTTTTGGGTTGTTTTTCTTAAATTAACTACTATTACTGTCGTTATTATTACTACTATTATTAGTATCATCACTATTATTATTATTATTATTCTAATGGCGAGACTGCAACAAATTGTGATCAAGCGATAGCGCGCACTGAGGAGCAAAATGCATAATTTACATTTCGTTTATATAGAACATAATTCAAGGACGGGATTACCCAAACCACTATTAAACTAAGCCATTGTTGACGGAAATTGTTGTCTTGTTCGTCTATGGCTTTGCGAAGACACACACTAGCAATATTTTGTTTACTTCAGCCTTTTAGGATTAGTCGGCTAACCGTCTTATGAACAATCCAGTTAAGCGTTAACATACTCAGGAGCAGATATTTGATTCTCATATTCAATGTCGCTGTCTTCTTCTGTTGATTTCACAAGGGAAGTGTACGTTCGGGAACCATCGTCTTCAGAGGTCTGCAAAATATACAGTTATACTTGTTAGAAAAGTATTTGTATTATCAACTTGGTAGGCGTGCCTGGTTTATCGATACGCGTTTTCCATTCCTTTAAAAAATGTTTCATGCTTGAGAACTCGTCAATGTAAATGAGGAAAAAATTAACAAAAATATCCACGTTGCCAAGTGAAAATTAGACATTCCTTCATTATATTTCTAGTGATGGTTTGTGTGATGCTGCGCCTTAAACTTATCATGCATGTTTCCAAATGAGACTCCTTTACCCGTCAATCCCGAAAAAGCCTTAATCATAATCATAAAGATAATTTTTGAAGTAGATATAAAAGAAAACAAGGAAATAAAAAGATGAATGAAATCCAATGAATTATATGTAATTAATTTTTTAATGTCGTCAGCTGTTGAGTTTCTTTTTAACGCGAGTTTCGTAGTCAGGGAGAACGTTCTCTTCATGAATAGGTATCCGTGAACATTAAGGGACAGCTATAGTCAAATGATGATGCTAAACGGATAAAATCATCAAACTTATGTAATTACAGGAAAAGTTTTAAGTCAGCACTTCACAGAGAGTCAAAGCGCGTCAGAGTAAGAAGATAGGAAGGAAACACATGCTCAGAGTCAGAAGAGGACTGCAAAGAAGTTAAAAAAGAAAGTATCGCACTTTCATTAGTTCATTATTTTAATAAAGATCATATTAGGTAATGCAGTAAATGGTTTGAACCCGGGGGTAACATGTGAAGGTATAGTCTGATCGTCCGGGTGAGTGTAGTCCTGAGAAGGACTGTTGTCGGTGGCAGTGACTGACGTTTCGACAACCTGTGCGGAAGTCATCATCAGAGTCAAGTGAGTGATTGTTGTCAGTAGAATGTTCTTATTCCAGTTCGTGTGAAATGATCGGTTGGTTTTGCCGTGATGTTATTGGCTGTAAGACTCAAGTGACGTAAGTCGTTCGTGATTGGTCTGTTTCGGTCTGTCGGTAAAGCTAGGTTGTTCTTTTTCGGTCGTTTGTGATGTTTATGTCGTGAATGAGTCGTTTGTATGGGGCGGGTAGTTGTTGACATCTGTTTAGGGGAGTCTGTTCTAAGTTAGTAAACCAGCTTTCCAGAGTCAGTCGTTGAAAATAGTCAGTGCTGTAGGTTAGGCATTGCGCAGAGTCCCAGTCAATGTTGTGGTTGGTAAGTCGATGGTGTTCAGCAATGTGATTGCTGACATCACCTTTCCTCGTCGCCCGTCTGTGTTCAGTCAGTCTTGTTGTGAGGTTTCTGCCAGTCTCACCGATGTAGGAGGCTTGGCAGTCGGAACAATTGATCTTATAAATCGTTCCCTGTCTGTTCCTCGGTTCGTCTTTGTCTTTAACGTTGGTTAGTAACTGACGTAGTGTGGTGATGGGTTTGTGGGCGACGCGGATATTGAAGGGTAGTAAGATGCGCGAGATGTTTTCAGACATACCTTTTATGTACGGTATGGTTGCTGTAGTCGTAGGGGTTGCGGTGTCGTTTGTTTCGGTAGTGGTAGTGGGTCGGTGAGTGTTTCGTCGGATGAAGTCGTTGTTGTAGTTGTTCTTCGTAAAAACACGGTGAAGGTATTTGTTCTCGTCGGATAAGCTGTCTGTNGACAGATTACTAGACGAGTCATCCTACAACCCTACATCACACAAAGCCACAACTATCAGAACTCTAACACGACGCGCACAACTAGTATGTGACTCGACAGACAGCTTATCCGACGAGAACAAATACCTTCACCGTGTTTTTACGAAGAACAACTACAACAACGACTTCATCCGACGAAACACTCACCGACCCACTACCACTACCGAAACAAACGACACCGCAACCCCTACGACTACAGCAACCATACCGTACATAAAAGGCATGTCTGAAAACATCTCGCGCATCTTACTACCCTTCAATATCCGCGTCGCCCACAAACCCATCACCACACTACGTCAGTTACTAACCAACGTTAAAGACAAAGACGAACCGAGGAACAGACAGGGAACGATTTATAAGATCAATTGTTCCGACTGCCAAGCCTCCTACATCGGTGAGACTGGCAGAAACCTCACAACAAGACTGACTGAACACAGACGGGCGACGAGGAAAGGTGATGTCAGCAATCACATTGCTGAACACCATCGACTTACCAACCACAACATTGACTGGGACTCTGCGCAATGCCTAACCTACAGCACTGACTATTTTCAACGACTGACTCTGGAAAGCTGGTTTACTAACTTAGAACAGACTCCCCTAAACAGATGTCAACAACTACCCGCCCCATACAAACGACTCATTCACGACATAAACATCACAAACGACCGAAAAAGAACAACCTAGCTTTACCGACAGACCGAAACAGACCAATCACGAACGACTTACGTCACTTGAGTCTCACAGCCAATAACATCACGGCAAAACCAACCGATCATTTCACACGAACTGGAATAAGAACATTCTACTGACAACAATCACTCACTTGACTCTGATGATGACTTCCGCACAGGTTGTCGAAACGTCAGTCACTGCCACCGACAACAGTCCTTCTCAGGACTACACTCACCCGGACGATCAGACTACACCTTCACATATTAGGTAATTTTAATATCATTGACAATATCATCCTTGTCTCTGAACACAGCTCGGTATAGACATCCTCCCGTTGGACAAACGGTTCATTTTGGTTTCTCTCATTTCCCGCCAAGCCATGCTGTGCACCTACATTCAAAGCATTCAACGGAAAACTTTCTTCGAAGTCATGTTGATTCCTGTGGAGTGACAGTAAAGATATAAAAGATATAGCTAATATGGATACATTCGTTTCTAAAGTGTCTTTAACAGTTGCATAAGCTTGTTATCTCATGACAGTAACTTTCCGTGATGTGACAGAGTAAAGAAAGAGAACCTTCACGTTTTCCTCCGTAAAACCTGTGTTATTCTTTCAGTTTGTTTTTTTGTTTTTTATTTTTTGTTTTCATTTTATCTGTTTGCTATTTTCTTTCTTTGCTCTAACTATTCAAAAAGTCTATTTGTCAGATGTCCGAGATTTACCTGTGGCTCTCCTTTTCGCGCAATTATTCTTCCTGGCGAGTAAATGTGGGAATAGCACAGAACTTTGATATCATATGGGTTGTTGCCTACTGGCCTTTGGAGATTTACCAGCTACCTGGATTCTGTCACTTTTAAAAGCAATGGAAAGTTTTCTGTCTTTCCTTACGATATGATTGTCTTTACTTCTCCTCAATCAAGCCAATCGAATACCAAAAATGAATACCACGGAGTAAACGTATTACTTCTGAACAAGAGAATATACACAGTTTATATTATCTTTCTCTAAATCATGAAACTTTTTTGCAATAAATTCAGATCATATTTCCAACTGACTAAGTTTAGTAGAAGCTGCTTACCCTATAAAAGCTTTATTTCTTGAATCTGTTGGGAATGAAATTAAATACAATCATCATCACATCAGAGTCCAAATAAAAAAAAAAAACACAATTTTATTATGGTAATTAAAACTAAAATTTAACTCATAAAACTAGGTGAGCTCAGAACTAGATAGAACTACTTTAAAGCTCAAAGCCTCTTGGAATGGGTGAGTTTTAAGAAGTCTTTTGAAAAACACTTATTTTTTTCTTAATCAAGCCTGCTCCTGAATTGTCTAGTACAAGAGAGGGCTGTCACTGACACTCCGTCACAGTTTGAAATACGTAGCTTTTTAATCTCGACGATTCACTTGTACATAACACAAAAAAATACAGAATTAACAATGCGAACTTAAACCCTGCAATGAAACTAAAATACAACGAAAGGAATACGAAAAACCACAGGAAAATACAAACGAAAGCGTAACTACTTACAAGATCTGTACGGCACTCCGGAATAACAACGACTGAATGAAAATTACAACTACGATGTTATATAGCGGATAAAGGCTAAAACAATAGACTAAACAAGGCTACACAATACTCAAAGGCGATTACATGAAACAACGCTGACAAACTTAATTTACATTTGACAGCACGAAAAAATACAAACTAATAAATACAGAACTGAACTATCGCGACGAGAACTATTTACACTAATTACAATTAACAAAGACGAACGACAGAACTGATAAAAAAAATAACTCTCGTGGCCACAAGGGCTACAATTAACTTTCAATTAGATGTCAATAAAATCCAAGCACCTGTTTGTTGTTGTTTCTTGCGTTGCAGTCTCAAAACCCCAAAAAGGATTATCGATACTATAAACAACATTCCTGCTAAAGTAGCGATTGTCAGATAAAGGGTGAAGTAGTCGTTGTCACTCTTGCAATTTAGGTCACTGACATTTGTAACAACTGGTAAGGTGGAAGTCGAGGAGCCCTTGTCCGTCAGCAACACTGGTCGGAAAAAAGTATAAAATGATAAAAAGCGGAGTAATAATTAGGACATCACTTAGCCTACTCATGCTTAAAAAGGGAAATCCTGAGAGTCAAAGCTTGCAAACTTGAAAGCTCTATCTCTTTAAATATGCTAACTCTGCTAAACTTAGAAAAAAAAGATAAAATTCGAAGACGCTTTTTCTGTAGCCAGATTTTAAGTAGGCCTTTTCATCGCGACATTTGCAAAACTAAATTAGCGAATAAAGAATTCAATTTCAAGGATTTTCTTGCAGAAACAGAGTACAATGGTAACGACGGTGAAACCCTTTGCTCACGGATAATTACATTTGTCCGGCAACGATATAAATTGTTAAGTCACAATTTACACCCACGGTTATCAGCAGTAAAGGCTTAAATTTTTGCTGATCGCGTTGCTCCAAAGTTTCTATGTAGACGCTTTTAAGAGATCGGCTCAAAACATATGTTGGGTACCCAGTTGTTCTGGAGCGGTTTAGTCCCACTCTCAGGTTAACTTGGTTTCGTGTTTTCGGTAATTCAGTGAAATGAGAGTATAACTTAGTTATTATTTTTAAACAAACATGTGATGAGAGGAATGTAATGGTTTTTACTTGTTTCGAAGTCAGGTGACTTCGTAGTGCTCACTTTGAGCCATGTAGTACATTAGTCCGCAATGTGGCGGAAACTTTCCTTAAAAAATACAGGAAGATTGACCATAACTAAATATTTCCCACACTTAAATACAAGACGAGGAAGATGAAGGGTTTGACAAGTTACAATTACCTTCCCCGACAAACCCAGCGATTGAAGTAACGACTAGCGAACTTCGAGGAAGCGTTTACACGAAGCTTAGAACTTAGAATTCCCGACGAAGACATTTCACACGTGAACTCGGGTTTCATTTAAAATTTGAAGGCTCGCATCCTCGAACGGGCTTCGTCAGAGCAAAATCGACAAACTGGTTAAAGAAAAGAGCGTATCCATAGCACACAGTTGTACTACGATAAAATTTCCAAACGGTTGTAGAGAAGCAACGGTAGGAGCTACTTTCTGAAAAGTCCGTAAATTGACTGCTTTGCAAGTTGTGCGATCATAGTTTTCTCGGTCCCAGGCCTCGTCGCTTCCCCCCTCCCCCCTCCCCCCCTTCCTGGATTTAATGCGTTTGGAAAACTTAACTTTTAAGGCGAGACTGTGACGAAAAACGTCCGATTTCTCCGATCACGATTAAATGTTGTGTTTGGGATCTCAAAACGTTAAGGAATGACTGTATCGATTTTTGAGTTTAATTTCCTACGGCAAGTAGTATTTTTTGACGATCTTCTTCGAGGCTGTTGAATTCAATTGGAATGTACTGAATCTGGCCGAGGAAGTACGGGGAGACCGGTAGTGACGTCATCCAATCAACCAGAACATAAAGTTGTCAAAGCCATGAGTGTTATTTCCATGGTTTTATAAGGGTAAGAAACTCGAAAAGTTCGAATCTTACGATTATAATTTTAAAGCTGGTATATCACAATGCCTTCGTCTCGATGTGTTGTGCAGGGATGCAGCAATAGATCAAATCCAGAAGATGGTATCTCTCTACACGACTCCCTCGTTAACAAAAACCTTGCCGCGAAGTGAAAGAACTTTGTCAGACTTCACAGAAAAAACTTCGATTCCGTAGGCCGGCTTCTCAGTTGTTTCTGAGCATTTTTTAGAATGGTGTTTTTCAAGGACATGCCATCTAAAAGGGCCATTGAGAAGATTGTTGCCAGGATCAGTTCCAACTAACTGGAAAAGTTTGAGAGAAAGCCGCGCGGTAATCACGAGAAAACCTTAAGTACTTCATCGAAGGATCATCGCATTGTAAGTTGACTTTACTAATCAATTTTTCTCAACTATTCCACACCTGTGGGAAATATCTAAAAAACACGAAAACTGTATAATTTTCCAAGTTTTTACTCACTATTCGTTATTCGTTGGTTTATTGTTTTATTCTGGAAATCTGTCTAAATAGTTTTTCGACAGTTTGTCAAAGTGGAGGTGTTAGTCGCATTCATTAGAATACAAAGACGTGACCGTCCAGAAAAATTCAAACTTCGTATTTATCAAGTGTTTATAATATTTATATTATTAATTGATCTATATAGGCTATGAAAGAGATATTTCATTCGAAGACAGCGATGCCACTCTGCCCGCCAAATCCTGTAATAGAGATAAACCATGAACGCGAAGTGCGTCCACAGCGGAACACGGCAGAAAACGCCACTGATGGTATCCACAGTGAACCTGATTAAAAGGTTATTGTGATGTTGAACTGTTTGATTTTAACCCATTATACGTACACAGCTGTACGTTGCTTTCTTTACTATAAGTTGATAAACCATGAACGCGAAGTGCGTCCACAGCGGAACACGGCAAAAAACGCCACTGATGGTATCCACAGTGAACTTGATAAAAAGGTTATTGTGATGTTGAACTGTTTGATTTTAACTCATTATACGTACAGAGCTGTACGTTGCTTTCTCTACTATAAGTTGTCTTCTATAAAATAATACCAGTGTTTATTAATATTGATCTTAATGATGTGATCTCTGCATGCAGCTACCGACATCTACATCGTCAGATTTCACGAACGAGTCCGAGATCATTGCCGATTCTGGTTTTGAATAACGATGCTTCTGGGGATCAAGAAGTATCTTCGGAGTTAACGGGAAATTCCGCCGATGAGATTTCCGTTTCTCATTTCGAAGCAGATGAGCTTGCGGCTTCGTTTCTCGCCAAGGAAACAATAGACTACCAGGTAAAAACACGAGAGATTTTGCATGCGAACACACGCGATCGTGTTAGTACATATAAACAACACATGGCCAGGTCAAGGAATTCCAACGTATTAGAGTGAAATTATATCATTAAATGTTCCATTTTCGTCATTTTAGGAAGAGACTCACTTATACCTCCACCAGAGTTGCGACGCGTGCAAGTTTGCGAGAGAAACAAACCGAAATCGGAAGAAAACAATCAACACGCTGACAACCATAATAAATAGATTTAAAGATCGCCTACAGGAAAAGGAAATCAAATTCCTCAACTGATTACATTGGTTCTTTCATCAGAAAACTGTTCACATCACTTTCAAGGGAAGCTATCGAGCGAGGGAATGGAGCAATAACTAGATGATTGATCACTTTCGCTTAAAGACAGTGATTTTGCCCTACAAGCTCTCTTGCCTTCGAGTTGTCTTGATTGGATGACGTCACTACGTTTTGACGAATTTACCGATGTCCTGCCGCTCATTTAATCAACAGCAATATGGCGGAAGGACCATTTCGCAACGCAAAAGTTTCATTTTCTCGGCGGTCATGGCTAGATTTTTCTAATATTTAATACATATGTTATTCAAAGTGCACAAATTCGAGATGTTGTTGTAAAAAGGTTTTACGGAATGATACGTTTTTCGTCACAGTCTCGCTTTAAAAAAAGGTCTTGAAAAAGTCTTGACATTTATCATTCTAAAAACGGCTTCTCGCTGTTATAACTGAATACTTTACCAAGTGACCAAACGAAAGTAATATGTAAACAAACATGCAAAAAAATAAAAACCCAATCAAAAATAAGTATAGACATCTTATTAAACGTTTTGTTGTGTAGTATCGCTGAGTATTTTCATGGGTTGTGCCGTACTTTGATGAGCCCGTAGGACGAGTCAAAATACAAATAGCGAATAAAAATACTCAGTGATATTACACAAAAAAATGTTTAATACGAGATTTATTATCCACCACGCCAAATTTTTCTTAGTGCGGAGGAGTATGCTGAGCAGAAAGGAATTAGCGTGGAATTTTCTTCAACAAATGATGAACGACGATGAAATTCATCGTTGTTCAACTGCTTTTCTCCGTTTGATTTATCTAATAAACTTAGATCAGTATTTGCCAGCCATTCTGACTCTACGTCGTCAGGAAAATAATTTAAATTGTCCGCTTTTTTTTTTCGTACAGTGACTCAGTCTATCCAATTTGTCGCTTGCGCGATGCGAGAAAACTTGTCTAAATGGTTCTTTGGAGTAGAAATACCGCGAGATGTGTGTTCCTTTTGGGCGTTATTTGTACTCTACGAAGTACGATTGAATAATAAATTTAAATATTTGGTTCTCTTATAAAGGGCTAACGAGCAGGTAAACAAAACAACAGAAACAACAACAATCAAAACAAAACCGAAGCAAATCCGATGATTCAATCGATCGATCGATGATCTTACGTGATACAGCAGTGATATCCTGTTGAGTTGACGTCTTGCCTTGTGTGGTGACAGCTTTTGTCCGAGTTGATGTTCCACGAAAACTTGTGCTGGTTGGAACAGGATGGTCGAAACAAGTTCCTTTACAGGTAGCTGTTAAAGTAATATAACTACTGTAATTGCCGCTATATACTGGTTGAGTAATATCCCGATTACATGGAAATGTGGCGAACTCCATACCTCTAGTCCGGGAAAAATTTTCTATGCCACGTCCTTTTAATCTAGAAAATTTCAAAGTGTATCTATGGCTAGGACTACAGGGCTTGCTCCCCCAATGGTTCATGAGCTAGCTATCAGTTGATGAGGCGGCCTTCGGAAAGAGCAGGGTGGGATAGCTTTTAAATACCTCTAGTCGAAGAAAACTTTTCTATGCCATGTCCTTATAATCCAGAAAACTTCAAAGTGTATAAACGGCAAGGACTACGGGATTAGCTCCCCTAATAGTGATGAGCTAGCTATCAGTGGCTATCAATAAGCGGTCTTCGCAAAGAGCAGGGTGGGGATAGGAAAGATAAGGAACAGAGAAGGAAGGGTGAGAATAGCCAATGGAAAATTCAAACCCGTGAATAACAGCAACTTTTAATGCAGCTAATATATCACGTTTTCTGTTACTGATCAATACCTGTTTCTTCCTCGCAAATCCATCCTCTTGGTTGGTCGCTCCTAACGGTGCCGAGTGATCCTTTGAATACAGATGGATATTCTTCATGAATCACCCCGTAAGAGTCCTTTGGGTCAGGATTTAAGCCTCTATTATGCCATTTGTCAATGGTCAAAGGTTTACCATTGATCCAATTCCATCTCTGCGTTGTTAAATTTTGTTTCAAACCAATAAACCATTCCCCATTTAAGGTACCTGTTTTATTTTGAATCTCATTTGTAATAAATTGCCATTCCTGCTCTGATTCCAACACTGCGAGTATTTTATTGTTGCTTTTACAGTTGTCCCTTGCTTTTTTCCATACCCATTGGTTTTTGCTGAAGGTATAACACGAACATAGCCTCTGACCATCTATAGTAATACAATAACAGAGAAGTTAGACTAATAATCAGTGGCCGTGAAGTGTCTATGTGTGTCTGAGTGCATTTTTATCGCAAACTTTCTCGTATCGTTCTTATTTAGTACTTGGTTTTCACTTGAATGAGCAAGCAGTGTAATATACTACAAACAGTGAATAATGTAAACAGTTACTATCAATTTCCTATCCAACATGCCTTGGTTGCGTTACACATTGCATGCTCGTCAGTTGGTCACACTATATATTACAATCGTTTTCTCGATTTTCGATCAGCTTGCTGACGCGACGTAAACAAGGCAAACAGCTTTATAGCTACAACTGAATGGAAGCTAGTGTATGATGTTGGATTATTTAACATGATTATTACATCAAAATCATTCTGTACCTGTAAATCTGATCGTCAACTATCGATTTAAACATGTAAACTAGCACTCTATCTCAGTGTACAATTATGACATCCTCGTCCATTGCACGGCCTTCAAGTCTTGTAAAATCTTTGTTGTCAGATCAAAATGTATTCTATCCCACATTTTTTTCTCTTTTTTATCATTATTACTATTTTTAAAGAATTCATCCTCTCCTGATTCAGTTTGAAAATAAAGGGCTAGGTTGGTTTGACGTTCAGTATAAATCAATCATGAAACGGAACTACTGAGGATAACCACATAACACGTAAAACCCGACACTTTTTTAGAGGCAGCAAGTACGTGATTATGATAATTGATAAATTTTAGCATTATCAACGATACATTTCACACTTACCTGTTCTCAACAGTAACAAATCAACTCCAAGAACTATCAGTACGTACACCATTTCCGCATTCATCATTCAATGCTTTGGATGAGGACGCCACGAAAGTGAAAGTTTAGCTTCAACGAGTAATTAAGATTTTGACGCAATTTCCGGTCAATGAAGGTGTGACTTGGGAGAGAACAGGCAAAGTTTGGAGAGAGATCACGCCTCAAGCAAACTGTAATAAGTGATTAACAACAAGCTGTATTTCATCAAGAATAAGCGAATATCCCATGTGACCTTCTCTGGTTTTCGGATGTCTTCTTCCCCGATCTTCTTACCGATGACAGTTTCTTCGTCACCAGCTCCAAAGATGTCGGTACGGCGCTCGGCCAGCTGCTTCAGACTGCTTCCAATTGACATACCTGGCAGACAAATGGAAGTATGCTTTAGGCATCCAAAGAAATTCAAAATGGCCAGAATTTAGCAAAGACTTTGTCTAGACTTTGTCATGGTCAATAAAACACACAGAGAAAGAGAGAAGACGGAGAGGTTAAAAAAGGAGAAAACAAAAAAAAAAAAGACTAGCTAACAACTTGGACGGAACAAGCTTGACAAACTTCTAGACGCCAAAGATCAAACGAACGTTGATTCTACTGAAATTGTTTTGGGCTCTGGAATTTCACCGAGACGTCTGCTCCGTGAGATCTCGCTCGAGAAAAAAAAATTGCCTACTTTCCAAACTCGTTTTCGACTCTATGCTCTTCGTAATCATATTGTTTTCAGGCACAATAATTAATCTGAGATGGCCTCACAGTGCCTTCACACAGGCGTCTCAGAAAACAGACTTCCAGTCAATAGTCTTTTCCAAAAATAGCTTTAGTAAAACGACCCTCCCCCCTCCCCTTCTATTTTTCTTGTTTTAACCTCATAGCGTATTCACACCGAGCAGATTGAATGACCA